CAATCATGCATTTTGCTTGCCATGACGGGGGGAAGAAGCGGCTTCCCGTGCTAATCCTACACAGTATTGGTGTTGCAACCCAGGCTGCGCCCCGGCAGACTGGTGGCCTAGTTAGAATCTTTAAGCCACTCGATCCCTCAGACAGCAAACAGAAGCCTTTCATCCAGCATACCGCGGAAAGACGTGCCATCCGGCAGGTATGTGCCCATCCTGTCGGGTGGCCTGCTGGGTATCAGCAAGCGCTGGTGGAACGAGACCGGAGGCACGTTGTCCTGAGGTGCACAGGTTTAGGTCCATGTTCCTTTACAGACCAGGGTTTGGGATCTGTATTTGAAAGGTTTGAAAACAGCGATGGAGCAATGCGCACGAGTCTGGTTTCTTCTGATTCGAGCCAGCAGCTGGGGGGAGGGCGCCATGGGAAGGCTACGATGTGGAGATGGTGGGTTGGGGTGGCGAGAACTTGGACCAGTCCCTGAGGCGCTCCGGGAGCGGGAGGCTTCAAAAGCTGAACTTTCAGGGTCGTTTGTTGGGGTTGGGGATTTGCTCACGCCCATTTTTGCTTTGTGTGGAGAGGCTGAAGGTTTGGATCCATTTGGCCTGGCTTTCTGTTCTGACATGCCGCTTCTTTGGGTACCATCCGATTCGAGGGCGCCAGCATGCAGCATGCAAACACTGCAAACACCAAAGTAAATGTGCCGCAAGATGGGAACGGAACCATTGGAGTTGGGCAAGAAGCATCCTGTTAATGCTCCAGTGCAATTCCTGAGACAGGGGGGTGCAGAATGAGCAACAATATTGGCTTGCGGGGATAATTATGAATTACTTTTTTGCATGATGCTTGCTTATGCCAGAGCAGTAAAGACTTGAATATCCAGCATCAATGCAATGGTCATTGAGAAGCCCGACAGCGCGCAGCCCAAAACTTGGAGAGGAGCCAAGTAAGTCAAGCCAAGCTCCGCATGGTCGCCTCCAACCGGGCCTTTCTCTCTTAGCTGCAAGGAGCTGGCTCTGCGGAGGTGAGATCATGATGGCGCAGGATGGGCAGCCAGTTTTTTTTGCAAGGGGTGCGGCACGTGTCCCCCCAAAGTTGCCTCGGCAAATTCATGAGCCTGGTAATGCACATCTTTTGGGGAAGATGTGTGCAGTGTCAAAAACCACACATAGGCCGAATACACGGGCCATGGCCTTGGCTCGACTCAGTCCAATAAAAGAAGTGGCTCGACTCAGTCTCTTTGTGCTGTTTGCGGCGCCCTGGGCTTTGGCCTACGAGTCTTTTGGACTCGTTTCGGAGAGGACTCCTTCGTCGCGCACATGTGGCGGAAGCCCGATGATCCGCGGACCCGCGCCAACTATCAGGTGAAAGCAGGCGACGGCTGCCTGCGGAGCCACTTGTGAAGTGGCATGGTCAATCACGATTACTCCGTATGGCACTGTGACGTATTCTCTCATATCCACTAGACTTGACTGGCCAGGGCACCTAGACGCTTGACCCCAGGCGCCGCCAGCCGGAACCGGCTCCGCGCGGCCATGGCTTGGCCCGGCCCATGGTTCGAGTTGTTGCAGATAGTGGGCCAACAGGTGTTGGTTTTCTGAGGACCTTGGCGTTTTGCTTTGGGAGGGTTCAGATCCAGGCCCAATCTTTTGAACAGAAGCTTGGTTCCTGGAGTAGTGCAACGGGAGGGATCGCTGGGGGTTGCTGCTCAGCGCAGCTATTTGCTGCGTGTCTTGTTTGTTCAAGAGCTTCTGATGCTGGGGATGTTTGGATGTGTGGCTGGCGAGGTTGCTCAAGATTCTGCTCAGGATTCTGGGACGCTGAGGAATGCTGGGCATGCTGAGATGCCTGGGTAGGACCTTGGAATGTGGCGAGATGGGAGATGTGAATAAGCTACAGATTGGTGGGGTGGAGATGCAAGTAGGCGAGCTCGAGATTCTTTGCCGCCGATGCTAGTGATGTTGGGGATGCTGGCGGCACTGGCGTTGGGATTCTGGGCTTGCGTTTTGACTTCAAATACTGCTGGGTCCTCTGAACCATAATCATATGCCTCCAATGTTGAGCCCTGACATGATGGCGCATGGGAAAACAGCTTGTTTGATGTTCGTGACACGTTTGTGCGCGGCATGGCTTGGCGTGACCTTGACAAGATCTCACTTACTCTTGCACCTCTGCATTGCTGCTTCTGCCTCGCAATGCCTTCTTCATGCAGCCAAACCAGTAAATCTTCTTGTAAACCATGCTTGCGTTTTGGATTCACTTTGACGAGCATCCCAAAGCCATACTAATCTGGGTCAGGTATCGACTCCACCAGAAGGCATTCCTTCTCTTTCAGTCGCATGCTTTTTCGGGTCTGAGGTGCGATGTGCAGACATTTGAAGATTCTTGGGTTTAGATCATCTCCTAGTCTTCCGTTGTTCTGCCTTCTCCGGTCTCTGAGGTACGGCGAGTTCTCGGAGAAGTTGGCATCTTTCCCTGGCCTGCAGTCCAAGCGGCTCAATCCCGATGGTACACCCTGGTGTGACGCCAAGCTGAGGGCAACTGAACCTGGCGTGCGGGGCCAATTTGTGTTCGCTTGAGGTACGGGAACTTAGATAACATCCTGGAGGTGAAGAAGCGGTTGAAGCCAGAGGCCCAGAATCTTTGAAGCAAAGCAACCGCCTGTGCGGGGTGAAGCCAAACAAGAGCCCAGGCTGTGGGTGTCAGCACGTGTGAATATATAACTTGTACGTCTCCCAGAATTTGACGCGTTCCTCCTCTTCAAGAGCTATGTGGAGCACTTGCAGATCAAATTATCAAACATACTTATGACTTGTGCTTACGGTTCGCCAGGAGCTTGTCCTTTCTTTGTTCACTTTTTCCCGTGCTTGGTTGTCTGGTTGGCTGGTTGGGGGGTTGGTTGTTTTGTGGTTGGTGTGGCGGGAACTTTGCAGATGCACCAACTGGCACCGACACCGGCCGGAGGTGTCTCGAAGGCTTTTCTTGCATCGCGTTCTAAACTAAACTGGTCACACAAGGACATGATGATTTCGGCAGTGATCATTGGTTCCTTGCAATCGCTTGAATCCCAGGCGGCACTCCACCACTATCGCTGCCACTCTCAACAACCACCTCGTCTCCGCTCTCTCCCGTTTATTTCTGCTTGCCCGGTTTGTTCCTTTGTTCTTATCTCCACTCTTCTCTCGGATGCTTTTGCTAGCTCCTCTTCCTGATCATCTCTACAGCTCTCCGCTCTTCTCGTGGGAAATGCTTTGCTTTCATCTTTTCTCCTGCTCTTGATTTTCAAAAAGCCACCGGGGGCATTCCCAGAAAACGGCAAAACTGCCCAAGTCCGACTTTCTCAAACAACCCGTTGGGGGCATGGGGGGGTAAGCCCCCATTTCCCATTCCATTTTTTTTGGGAACAAGGACATGGTTGAATAAATTTCTTCAGAGGGGCCGAGTAGCGATGGGAACCCCATGGTAGCAGATTTCTATGTCTTCCCCTTCGAACCCCTTGGAAGCTCTTGAGGTGCAAGTCCTTCGCCTGGTTCATGCACCGCTTTAAGCACGTCTATGAGGACAGATGGCCCGCTGGGCACCTCTTGGACGCTTCGAATGTTTGTCAACACACCAGGCTTGGTTGCCATGCTTGGCTCCGGAAGCCACAAGAACATGCAGAGGCAAAACCCACACATTCAGGATCGTTACTCCCCCGGCTGCTTCAAATGCGTGAACTCCAGTTGTTGCAGCAACTTTGCACACATTCATGTCGAAGATATACTCTGCGAGCCATTGGCGAACCACAGTAAACTAATGGGTTTCGGCCATCATCTATGTGACGTTCCCGACCGGCTCTCGTGACTCTCGCGAGGATGGAGGTCTCATCCCCAAGGAAACCTTTACCATCAGACCCGAAAACAATCGGGGCTGCGGCCTCGGGGGCAATTCCGATGCGCGTGTCCCCGCCCTCGAAAGGGCAGCGCTGAGAATTATTTTGGATGGGCGCCCTGATTTGCTTCTGAAATCCGGTCTAAACGGCGGCCTGGCGTGCCGAGGCCAATGCCTTACCTACGAGGGAGGAGCTGGGTGGGAGCCTCGGAGTTGGGTCGCCTGGCAGCCCGTGGTCAAGAAAGAACGGCATAGAAGAGCCTCAGGAGCCAGAAGCCCTTGAAAGGTGATGTTGTCACTCGCCCATTTCTCTGCGGCCGTTTTGTCTCAGAGCAACATACCTGACACTTCGCTCGCCCTCCGCTCCTTTCCTTCCACTCCTTTCGCCATGGGCTCTGCCGCATCCACCGAGGCGGTGCAGAAGGAGGTGGCGGCCAAGAACGTGGAGGAGATCGCAGCGGCTCTCAAGGAGCTGCCCGCGGATCAGCTCAGCAAGATCAAGGAGGCCGTGACCGCCGGAGCCGCAGCCACGCCATGCCCGGGACCTGTGGACTGCAGCAAGGCCGGTCCAGAAAGCAATGTGCGCATGTATGTGGGCCCTGGAGCAGCTTCCAACTCTGAATTTCCCTGGGGCGCTGGGAGGGACCCCGGAAAATGGTGGAGGCTTGCCCCATTTGGTTGCTCACGTCGCCCACAATAGGTTCCCGGCAAGGCAGCTTTAAGGGCGGAATCCGAATTGTTCTCGCCAGCTGTGTGAAATTCTGGATAGCAGTTTTGCTGCTTTCTCATGTTGTTTGCTGTGTGGCAACATGTCCCACACCGGGGCGGTTCCGAGGAGGGTTCCGGTTCGGAGGTTCGGGATGTATGGGGCCGGTTCCGAGGAGTGCGCGCAAATGTGCCTCGTGCTGTTGGGGTTTCACCCGAGCTTATTTTGGCTTTTCATTGCATTCACACGAACCTTTGCACACTTTGGAGGTTTATGTGTAGTGAGTGCGTGACGTGCGTGGTTTGGTTTTTCGCAACAATGCAAGACTAGCTAGTGGCCAATATTCTTGCTGGATGACTAACTAGCTGGCCGACTATCAAACCAACTGCCAAACCAACTGACTACCTAAACGGTCCGCTAAGAAACCAATAG